TCACCATCTTCATTTTTAAATTTTTTAAATTTATCACCAAACTCTGATCTTCCACAATAATCTCATTTAATTAATCACTTCTAACATCACACATATTAGCAGAACACTATTTCTAAGTAAGATAATTTATTGGTAAAATATGAAATTAGTTTGTATAAATATTAAAGTATTAAATTAGTTTTTGGTTTTACTTTTTATTAATAAAATGAGACATCATAAACAATTTTACCTTTCTTATTTATTTATAATACAATATTTTAGAAATAGAAGCGCAAGATTCCAAAATGGAATCGCAAGCTTTCAACATGTTTTTAGAGGAGGTTTTTCGGAAGCGACATCGAAACGAAATTCTGATTCCAAAGCGAAAAGCGGACCTCCGACGAAAATTCCGAATACGCATTTAAATGAAGATTAAAAAATCTTATCACATTATGAAGTAGTTAATTTAAAAAAAAATAGAATTGAGGTATTTTTTCAAAAAAAAACATATATCATAAAACGAATACTCGAATAAAATTTTATGAATAACATAAAAATAAAATAGTAGGCAAAAAATAGTATTAATAGCCTAGTGAGATTGATAAGAAAGATTGATAAGAAGACTTTTTAATCAGCTTCTTATCACTCTCACTAGGCTATCATTACTATTTGTTGTTACCATTTTATTTTTTTATGTTACTCATAAAATTTTATTCAAATACTCGTTTTATAATATATATATATATTTTTTAAATTAACTACGTGATAAGACTTTTTTAATTCCGATTAGTCTAATACTCTAGTAAATAAGTAAAAAAAAATGCGTACGACGACTTTATCCAGCTGGAATATAAATCCGTAGCACGAGGCTCTGTAACGGTCCAAAATACCAGCTGGATAGCATAACTACTCTCTTCTTCACTCAAACCGCTAACCTACGCCTTTCCCTAACCCAGCGCACTCTAGCATAACCGTTAAATCCATCGTCGGCCGTTTCTGTTTCGTCTACCGGCGACGGAAAATTCGAATTTATTTTTCTCTATCCACCACCATTAGTTATAACAGAATTAACACGAGCTGGCTATTTTTTGAATTGTAACGAACAAATCGACATGCAAGTGAACGAAGAAGATTCTAGATGATGATGATGTGAGAAAAAAAAGCTAGAAGTCGGCGGTTTTCCGGTGAGAGGTTCGGCGACGGGGAAGTGACTTAGTCTCGAAGCTTTCTGTCTCTTGAAGATTCCTTATGCTACTACGGATAGACAGAGCATCGGCTCTGATAAATCCAGAGATTTCTTCGCCATTTTCGTCGGATTCTATTGGAGAAGATTCAATCAGAAATCTAGATTCAAAATCCAGATTCGGGAATCAAAAGTAATGAGAGATTGAATCGGATCGGCATTGTATACGTACCTAGATGCTTTGAAGGACGCATGAATCCGTTAAACTGAGCCAAATCTGAGAGAAAAAAAAATTGAAATCGGATCCAAAAAAACAATCAACACTCGAAGATCGAAAACCACTGAATCGTTCGTCGCTAACCT